GTAACGTACGTAGTATACGTAGTAGTACGTAGTAGTAGAGTACGAAGTAGAGTAGAGAGAGAGAGAGAGAGAGAGAGAGAGAGAGAGCGGTGGCGGATCCGTGGATATGCTTCCGAGTGGGCCAACCTCGGTCCAATAATGACTGTGCCAGGATGGACATGGGAGAGGGGAGGGTGGGCATCGAGGAGTGCTTGAATGTCCATATGCAATGCCAGAGAGAGAGTGGGCTGGGTCGGATCCAGTCAGATCGACGCCGGTAGACGACTAGGAGGGGTCGAGGGGCATCGAGAGGAGAGTGTAAGGTCCATGTTCCGCTGTGGGAAAGCAAGCCGGGATGTCAAGACTCGAGAGCGGCGGCGAAAGCGTCTAGAGGATGCTGAGGAGGGCCAGGGCGCCGGCGCCGACGAAGGCAGCGGCCTTGAGCCCCGGCGCGACGATGCCGGCGGCGCTGTCAGAAGACTTGCCAGACGCGCTGCCGTTCTTGCTCGACTGCTTGGGCTGCGGCGGCGGCGCGTCCTGCGAGGCGGGCAGCGGCGTGGCGGCCGAGACGCGCTGGTCGCCCAGCTGGCCCGTGCCCACCATGATGTGCTGGCCCTTGGACGGAATGCCGTTGACCACCAGGAAGGCCATGGCCGGGCCGGGCTGGAAGATGTTGGCGTTGGGCGGCATGTTGGCCACGTGGAGCGTGCCGCCCACGGTGCCGTCCTGGTTGGCCGTGTAGGTCGAGTTGAGCTCGAGGTAGCGCTGGCCAAAGTTGACGCCGTGGGTGGCGAAGCCGGAGCGGATGATGGCCACCTTGGTCTTCTTGATGTTGCCAATGTCGTCCGACAGGTCCTTGGCGGTCAACGTGATGTCAAAGTTGCCGCCCCCGTAGGCCAGCTGGGTGATGTTGAGCTGGCTGGGGCGGGCCTCGTTGTACCACGTCGGGTACCACTGCTCAAGGCGGTACTCGGTGTTGGTGTAGGGCGCCGCGTTGTCAAAGGTGACGTCGGCGTTGGGGTTGGATCCCGACGTCAGCACCGAGCCGTCCTCGAGCAGGATGGCCGTCGAGTGGTACATGCGCTGGACCTTCATGGGCTGCAGGCCCTCGGTCGAGAAGCGCGAGCCCTTGGGCGCGGTGGGGTCGTAGACCATAGGCTGGTAGTCCGGGTCGTCGCCGAGCGAGATGCCGATGGCCTTGTTGTAGTCCTGGGTGGAGTAGCCGGCGGTGCCCATGTGGACGCCCTGGCCGAACCAGAGCTTGCCGTCGGGCAGGTAGACAAATGTGCCCATCGAGCGGCCAGTGATGAGGTCGTCGTCCTGAGTCCAGGTCGGGTTGTCGTCCTCGGGCTTGAGCCTCTCGCAGACCTTGCTGGCAGGCGTGTTGAGCGGGTTGTAGGCCGGGCCGCCGCCGTTGCCCCACTCGTTGAGCGGGCGCTGGACACCACCGCAAAAGAGGATCTCCTGCTCGTAGTTGTTGGCGGGCGTCATGGGGAGCATGGCCACGCCCGCCGAGGCCGGGTAGCACTTCATCGGACCAGTCGTCGAGGGGAGCTCCTTGTAGGTCGAGGCCGAGTCGAGGTCCCACAGGATGGCGTCCTGGCCCGCCTGGACAAACAGCTTGCCCGAGGCCATCAGCCACGCCAGCGGGTAGAGGTTGACGGGCACCGTCGAGCGCAGGAAGGGCATGTCGACGGCCTGGTTTCCTCGCGGCGGCCAGAACTCATAGTTGGGCTGATTCTGGCCCTCGTCGGTGACGTATCCGCCGTAGTCCTCGCCACCGCCGATCCAGAGGGTGCCGTCGGCCAGCGTCTCGACGGTGGGGTACCATCGCCGCACGGCCATCTTGAAGCCCTCGACCCAGTCGCAGTTGCCGTCGTCGCAGGGCGTGTAGAAGCGCGCACCGGCGCCGCCATCGCCGTCAAAGTAAGGTGCCGAGATGCTGAAGCGGGGCTGGGTCTGGTTGCCGTCCTTGCCGACGGGCTCGTTGCCGCCGAACGCAGCCCAGGTGCCGTTTCCGAGCGACATTCCTCCGGCACAGAACGTGTTTGTGGTGACGCGCATCAGGCGGCTGGTGTTGGACTCGGTGTCGTACTCCTCGCCCCAGGCCGGGTGGCCGTCGATCTGGGCCTCGTTGCCCTCGGTCTTGTCGAGGATGACGACCTTGCCGGGCGCGCCGTTGAAGAGCATCATGCCAGACACCTTTGAGCTGCCGATGACGGTGCTGCCGCCTGGCGTGGCGGCGCTGACCGCCGAGGCGGTGTATGCGAGAGCAGCAAGAGCTGCAGCGGCCTTGATCATCCTGGACGGTGGGCGAGGTCGCGGTGGCGTGGTGGATGCGTGGGTAGGAGAGTCGATGGAGGGAATGCCAGTGGAAGCTCCCAATCTGGTCGGACAAGGCAGATCTAGAGAGCAGTCGATGCGGTCCTCGGGGCGCTGGGCCGAAGGCGAAAGAGTGTCGATGGATCCGAAGGGAGCTGGATCGCCAGCAGGGAGGAGGTGGGCGTCAGGAGCAGACGGAATCGTATAGGGGCGGCCCGGCCTTTGTATCAACAGAGAAGAATGCACGCGTTACGGCACGGGATGGGTGAGCGGGGTGGTGGTGGCGAAGAGAGAAGAGAGCGAGATGAGAACGGCGAAACTCTTGTATAGCTCAACCGGCAGACAGGGTCGCTCGTTGTACGGCGAGGCATCGGCGGCTCGATCGGCAGCGCAGCGGGGAGGTTGATTGTTGACCCGTCGCAGCGTGGGTCGTTGGCCGTTGGCCGTTGGCTTTTGCCGGGCCTGCCATGCCCAGGCCATGCCTGCCGGCCTGGCTTTGGCAAGCAGACGGCGCAGCAGCGGCGCCGCAGCTCCGTCTCTCTTCCCTCTCGTCGGGCATCGGCCGTCAGTCGCTGCTACGGTAGCGGCTGTTTGCTGGTTGTCCGCCCACTGAGCCGACCAACAGCGCAGCAGGCAGCAGCAGCGACGGCGGCGGCGGCGGCGGCGGGTGGCACCGCCCCTCTGCGAAGTCGGGGGCGAGGGGGGGGGACAAAAAGAGGGGCCAAACACGGAACTCTTCTTGTGCGCCCAGCCGGGTCAGCCGAGCCCAGCAGCTCGTTGTGCGACGGAGGCGCAAGCTCAGGCAGGCTGGGATCTGGCGAGCGCAGGCGAGGGCAGGCGAGGGCAGGCGAGGACGGGCGAGGACGGGCTGGAACCGAGCGGGAGCCGCGCGGTAGGGTGCTGTGCTGTGCGGTGCGGTGCGGTCAGCGTCAGCATGAAGAAAGGCGGGGGCGATCCCTCTGGCTGGCTGGCTGGCTGGCTGCCGGCTGCGTTTCAGAGAGCGTACGCACGCGTGTGGTTTCCCGAACCTGCGCTAGCCTCGGCGGCCTGGTGGCAGACCGGCAGGCAGCAGCAGGTCCCGGTACGCGCCAGGGCGGCGGAGCTCCGACGCACCGCGCCTTGGCCTTGTCTCGATCTCACCTCACACCTTTGAGCCGTCGGCCTGCTCGCTGAGAGGTGGCTCAATCGCTGACTCCCTGGCTCGCTGGCCCGGCGGCCCAAAATCCGAGGCTTCTATACACCCTCTCGACCGTCGGTCCAGCCGCCCTCATGGAGCCAAATAGGAACGCTGACGGTCCATTGTGGCTGGAGCATTCCGTCGAGCCATTCAGGTGGCGCCGAGCAACGATGAAGCGGATTGAACCCGACTCGCTCCGAGCCATCACAGATACACAGCTAGAGCAGCGCAACGGTCGGTCCCCTCCCGTCCCGTAGCACAGCGTCGGCAAAATGCCCTCAAATTGGCGGGGCCGGGTCGCTCGTTCAGGGGCGCAGAGAGCAAGCGCCACCCCTTTTGACCCCTGGAGCGAGGGGCTTGGGTCTTGGCGACGCGGCTGCCTTCCGCCTGTCGCACTTGGATGATGCCAGCAGTCCATAAAGACCGTATCGGCCACAGGACACCCTCGAGTGCAGTAGTCCTTGTCGAACTGGTCATCATGACCATTGCCACGTATGTACCTCCTTGTATACACGCCAGTCTGGTCTGGCCAGCCCTCAATCGGCATGCGCGTCGAGGGCCGGAAAGCGAGCTCGGAACGTACCCGGTACGGCCTGGCTGGCCTCGTCACTTTCCCTTGAAGGCACGTTCCGGTCCTCGACCCGAGCAAAACGAGCGCACGACCGGCCGGACGGCATGGCAGGTAAGGCCAGGCATGGCGGCTCGCTTCGTCGAACCCGGCCCTCGTCGTCTGGACGAGTCAGCCTACGTGTCGGAAAGGGCGTAACGGTACCGTAGCCCCGCTTGTCGCTCCGAACTCTTTTGCCGACGCGCTGCCCACGACCGTCGACCAGGCTTGGCTGGGCCGGTCAAAGCAGCCCCGACGTCAGGTACCCGTACGTCCGCCAAGACATTTACGGGTTCCACCGTGGAACACCGCAAAAGCACCAGAGGCGTGTGGGGGCCACCACCTTGCTTGGCTGGAGCTTTCGGTCCGATCCGTCCCCCTTTCGGACAGCAACCGCTCCCCTGTCGGTCCGGTCCGCTCTCGGCCCCGATGAAGGGCCATGTACGACGTTCGCACGCTCGCACGCTCGCACGCTCGCACGCTCGCACGCTCGCACGTACGCACTTCTCGTCTTCTCGTCGTGGATTGACGAAGCCCGTTCATGAGGCTGGCAGGGGAAAAACTTTGCCCGAGTGGACCCTGGCCGAGCCGGGTGCTTCCGCTGTCAGACAGGATCGACGGGGGCGTCTTGGTGAGCTGCCCTACGCGAGATCCGATGTGGCCGAGAAAGCGGCAGGCAAACAGGCAGGCAGGCAGGCGCCGATCCACCGAACCGCCGAGACGCGAGCAGGGCCTGCCGGGCCTGACCCCCCGAAACAACAAGCAAGGAAAATGCCCGCTGAGCTGAGCCGGCCTTTTCCCCAATTGAAGCGCCATGTCCAGTTTGATGTCATACCGCTTTCCGAACGAAGGACCGACCTGACTCTCGCCCGGGCAAGAGACGATTCAAACGCATGTGTTGCTCTGATCCTCTTGTGCCACGAAGCTTGCGAGGGAGCAGAATCAATCGGCGAAGGTGAATGGCCAGGACTCACCCGCCGGTTGCTGTGCGGTGCCCTGACGGCGCCGAGGAAAGGGCGATCAAGAGGCCGAGCAATCTACGCCTCGCCTGCAGTGCCGCAGTCGTGTGTCGACGGGTGGTCCCGACGACTCAAGAGACATCGAACAGCTTGCTCAATCTCGAGCCGATGTCGCTGAGTCGCGAAGCGTCGGATCCTGTCGAGGACGAGTTGGAGCCGGAACATGTCTTTGGCATGCAGGGTGTCGAAGTGGTCGATGGGGTAGACGTGCTGCGGTGCGGGGAAGAGACGAGGTCGAAGCTCAGTCGCGGGCCTTGCTATCGGCGGGCCACAGGGCCGCATCGGCGTACTCACATAGCTGTTCCCACCGCCCTGGCCTGCGACGGCGACGGAAACGAGGATCCTCCAGTAGGTGCCGGACGCGCAGATGCAAAAGACCGGCCGCTGTCGCGCTGGACGCTCGCCGGTCAAGCTGAAGAGCTGATGCTGCATCGCCAGCGCCACGGCGGCACCTCGCGCTGCCCGGTCCACCACCGACGCGATGGGCTCGTAGTCGCTCGCAGCCTCCATCACCACCGCAGGGTACGGCACGGGCCTTCCCGAGCTCGACGGGAACGGTTCCAGACCGATGGAAGGGTCGCTTTGCAAGCATCTCAGACAGTTGGCAAGGGTGGTATCGTCGGACGCTCCGAGACCGCTCAATGCTGAGCTGCCATTGAGCCCGATGCCCAGGTCCGGACAAGGTCGCCCGACGTCGGCCAATCCATCGGCCAGTAAGTCTGGTTCTGGTGGGTTGTCCCACGTCGTCTCGATGCTGAAGGAAAGGATCAGGGCAGGGGACGGCGATCAGTGTGTGAGCTTCGGCTGCGGAAAACGTCGAGAGGCAGGCAAGCTTACGTCGTGGAGAGGCTCGGATCATCTGTAAGCACGCGAAGCACATCGTTGTGATAGGCCCGCCAGGTGGCCTTGTTGGTCTTCTGATACGAATGCTGAACGTCGTGCCTTGTCAGCAGCGCCTTCGTCCTTTCAATGGCCCGATGGCGCTCGACACTCGAGCTGGAAAGGATGCCCCCGCTGAGCGCGTTGACCGCTCTTTCAACCTCTTGTAGCGTGTGCTGGACGGAACAAACGGGCACAGAGCATGACACATCAGCTCATGCACCGCGGCGAGCTCTGAAGAGCGTTGCGGTGAGCTCGTGTCCTCACCAAGCTGGTGGGAACACTCGAGAGAGTCGGGCAGTCGAAGAGGTCGTTGCAGAGCGCCCGCGTCTCATCTGTCAGGATGCGATCTAGCTGCGGCCCGTTGACGGAGATGCGCGCCGAGCTGAGGGCCCCATGACGGCTTGCATAGGCGTCCGCCATCGGATGCAGTCGCCAATGGTCCGAGGGTGTGATCGCCGGAGCGGCGATGGTGAGTGTCGAGGAGCGGTGGTAGCCTGCGAGCGCCGCAGTCTCGGGGAAGTTGCCAGCAGCCACTCCAGCCAGGCCAAGCCGAGCCTGGACCCTGCGTCCAACTCAGGCGGGCCGACTTCCGAGGTTCCCTGTTCAGCCTTCCTTGAGGAGGCGGATGTCGGTTTTCCCCTATCTTCAGAACACGATCAGACTTCGAATCGGAGCTCGAGTGTCTGCTGGCTGGATTCTCTAGAGTCTCAGAGACAGGGTACTTTGTTTTGGAACCAGCAAAATTAGAATTTTGGCTAGGGCCGCTGATGGTCGGGCCAGATGGCAGTTTTGGCAAAGGACCCGCGGTCCTGATGCGCTGATCTTCAAAAATCGCACTACCTGAAATTGATCAAGCTGCTTCTTCTTTGCAAAGCTGCCGTCCCCCAACTTCCGACGACCAGCGGGATAAATTCAAAAGTTGCGAAAAACCCGAAAGAGGGCTGAGTCGCGTGGTGCAGCATCTGGACCCCGAGTCCCGGTTGTGGTTGTGGAGGAGCCCGGCAACTGGCGTGGACAAAATCAAGAAGAAAAAAGTCGGCGGCGGCGGCGGCGGCGGCTGATGGCCCCTCGGTTCCTCTTCGGCCCGTGGCTCCTATCAACTGCCCACCACTCGCTCCCAACCCACACCGCCACAGCACTCTGCTTGACCACGGAATCGCACGCCGCACCACCATCCTGACCAGTGGCGCACCGTATGAAAGAGCTTCGCCTCCTGGCTCGCCAGAGGACGGCGGTGGCCTCTCTGGCCCAGCTCACCCGACGTCACCAGCAGCGCACGCTGTGGAACACGGCCGCATCCGTATCGACGCCTGCTTCGCTCTTCTTGTCCGTCTGGCCTCGGTTAGGGACCAAATCAGCTCCGATCGATAGGCAGCCGATTATATACAGCCCTCCGCACAGCCAGGGCCTGCACACGACTGCCACCGTACTCCTTCGCTCCACGCCATGTCTGCCCGCCAGCGCCCTCCGCAAGGCCGCCGCCCGCGAAAAGGCTCGCGTCCGCGCCGACTTGACCGCACAACGCATCTCTAAGCGCCGCGAAAAGGAAGGCCTTCCCGCCACCAAGCCTCCACTCAGGGAGCCCCAGTTCGAGGGCCCCAACGGCGAGCGCCTCACGCTGGCCGAGCAGGAAAAGGTGCTGCGCAGGGAGCTGGCAAGCCTCTCGCGGCAGCTCGAGCAGTTGGAGAAAAAGGAAAAGGCGGACGAGGCGACAAAGGAGCTACCGCCGCTCGACGACCAGACCCTCGATCAGCTCTACCAGGCTCTCATGATGCCACCACCCGCCAGCACCGAGGATTCGAGACTGGCTCGGCTGGAAAGCGGTCGTAAGGAGCGGGCACTGATCTCATCGGGCGTCTCCGTCATCGAGGACGAGCGACAGCAGGCCAGACTAGAAGCGCAGCAGATGTTGCGGGAGCGCGTGCTCGACGCTCGCGATCGCGGCCGAGCGCTTCTGCCGTTGAAGCCCCCGACTTCTTCCCGTCGGAGCCCGGAAGCGGACGAAGATGACGGGCTCGTCGACCTCTCACGTCTTACTCACGAGGAGCGGCAGGAGGCCAGGCTTCAGCTCCTCTTCGAAAGGCTCACAAAGCTTCGGTCAGTCAACCAACTTCCCGATGGCAAGCAGCAGTCCCTCCAGGATATTAAGTCCGGCCTGGCATCGAGGATCGCAAAGATCCTGGAGGCACACAACTACCTCCTCAAGCCGACCTCTGATGGCACCAAGGAGCGCTCAGAGACGAGCGCATCCACCGGCGGAGACCAGGAACTCTCCCGGATACCCGAATTCGACAGCATCCCGCTCGATCGCAGCATCGCCACGGACCCGGCGGAGGGCACCTCTTCGGCCGCTACGCAGAGCGAAGCTGTCGCTGAGCCGCAGTACATCTCCGCTGCCAACGAGATCCTGCAGGACATCTCGTCCGCCAAGAGCCGTGGCCTGATGCTCGACCGGATCGAGCGACTCCTCGAGCAGCCCGCCAACATGTCGGCGGACACCGCTGCATCATCAACCAGCGACGAGCCCGCACCGTCGGGCCTGCCTCTCGGCGTCGCCAGCATCGACGAGTGGACGGCGCTGTCGGTCGCATCCGCCCGCTACGGAGACGACCAAGGGCTCGCCCGCACACTCAAGCTGATGCGAAGGGCAGGCTACTTCCCGCCGCCTCTCAGCCTCTTGAATCAGGTCATGGACGTCTACGCCTCCCGCGGCGAGATCCAGCGCTGTCAGGACACCCTCTCGCTCATCGACAAGCTGGGTCTGCGCCCCGACAGACACACGTTCCACTGCCTCACAAAGGCTTACCTCGCCGACGGGCAGTACGTGCAGGCGGTCAAGATCCTCAACAGCCTCGAGGGCGGCAGCGGCGGTCTGCCGCCCGCGGCCATCGCGACCTACACGATGGCCATCGATCGCATGGTCGGGGATCCGCGCGAAGAGATCCAGGCGCTCGGCTGGAACCTCTTCTACCACATGCGGCTCGTGGCCCACCCCATCCCCGACGCGCCGCTCTACGCCCTCATGATCCGCGCCTGCGCAAAGGGAAGCATCCAGCCGCAGGACGTCGATGACCCGCTGCGCACGCCAGTCGGCGCCGGCGGCGTGATGCCGTCGCGGCGCTCCGACGCCGAGCGGGCGCTCGACCTGTTCCGCGAGATGACGACGCGCTACGTGGTCCGCCCCAACGCCGAGGTCTACAACAACCTGATCCTCGCTTGCGCCCGGCGCAAGGACTTCTACCTCGAGGCCTTCCGGCTGCTGCGCGAGATGGTCGAGCTCGAGACGGAGCGGGTCAAGATGCTCTCGGGCCAAGCCGACGCCGATGCAAAGGAGCGCGAGGGGCTCGAGTCGGCCTACCTCCGCTTCGCGCCGGACCGCTACACGTTCAACGCGCTGCTCCAGGGCTGCGCGAGGAACAAGGACCTGCCGCGTGCGCGCTGGGTGCTCGCAGAAATGATCCGGTCGACGTCGCCGCTGTTTGAAGAAGACGGCCGCGGCCTGCACGGTTTGACAAAGGCGCAGAGGTTGGAGATGATGGCCCAGCGGCCCAACGCCGAGACCCTCACCCACGTCTTTTGGGCCTATGCCTCGTTCGTTCCGCCCGTCAAGAGGGGCCAGATGGTGTCCAAGACGCAGCAGCAGCCCGGCGCCGTCGGTGAAGGCGCCTCCAAGCAGGTCGAGGAGGAGGAGGACGACGCCGCCAAGCCGACCGCCGCAGAGGCGGACACGTCCGTCGCTGCCAAGCAAGGACCGGCATCCGCTACGTCCGAGGCGGCGGGATCCACTTCGCTCGCCACGGCGGCGCCACCAGCAGAGGAAGCGCTGACGGCCACCGAGGCGGCGCAAGTCTTTTCGCACCTCGTCCCGCAGACGGCCTACGACCTCATCACGGAAGCGCGCGCCCTGATGGCACGCATCCTGGCCGACCAGCCGCGCACCGTCGACGGGCGGCAGGTCGAAGGGTCGCTGGGATCCGTCACGCCCTCTGTCGCGCTGCTCAACGCGTACCTCGCCGTGCTGGGCCACCATCTCCCCTCTGCCTCGCGCGTCGAGACGATGTGGCACCACGTCCGCCCAGGGCAAGACGGGGTTGACCCGGGCCTCTTTGCGCAGCTCGGCCTGACGCCCAACGCCAACACGCTGCTGCTGGTGCTGGAGACGGCGACGCGGCAAAAGCCGAGCGACGCAGCCGACGCCATCGTCGAACAGGTCTGGGCCATGTTCCGGTCGCTCGAGTCGCAGCCGGGCGAGCTGGACCCGCGGGTCGTGGAAAAGTGCTGGGCGCAGCGCATCCGCTACTCGGCCAAGGCCAACCGGCTCGACGAGGCCGTCGAGGTGTTGAAGGAGTTTGCGCGCATCTACCCGCCGCAGGGCTCGTACCTTGCTCCTCACAACCGCAACCGCACCTCCTCGCCCTCGGCCGCCCGTGCCGGCGCTGGCGTCAAGCTGTTGAAAACCTCGAGGGAGGTCGAGAGGAGATCAAAAGATCCCTCGCGCACCACCACGCCGGCCAAGTTGGCAGGCGAGTTGGACCTTTCGCCCATGCCCGTCGCCCAAAAGACGCTCGAGACGTTGGCAACCGACTTTGCCGCCGCCAATGGCCGTCACTCCCCTGACCCGGCACGGACGTCGACAACGACGACGACGAGCGAGACGCCACCGCCGTTCTTGACGTTTGTCGACCTCGAGCTCCTGCACCACCGCCTGGTCCACTTTGACCACAAGAAGGGTCTCGCCTACCTCGGCTGGGTCGCCCGTGCCTACGAGGCGGGCGGAAGGCCTCGTGATGATAGAAAGTGAGCGCGCCAGAGCGCAGAACCCTCCCCTTGGCCCTCCATCCGCGGGATCGAGGAGCAACCACAACACCACCTCTCTCTCTGTGGCGCTTCCGTCTCTTCATCGCCTCTCTCCGTGCAATATGTACCACTACCCAAGACCCAGGAGAAGAGTCTTGCATCAATTGTCCTCTGGCGTCGACGGAGAAGCCGTTGATCCGTCATCGAAAGCTGAGATGGAACCGGATGTCGATAGATAGGCCCGAGGCCCTCGTCGCCCCTCTTGTGTATGTTTCGCGAGCGGGATGGCTCACTTCCTCCTGCCACTGGGCGCGCAACCGGCAAACAAGCGCCTGACGTCGGCCGATCCGACCTCGAGGCCGACGCTTGCGTCCTTGTAGCAGTCGCGGACGATCCTCGCCAGCCTGTCGACCTCGCGGACAAAGCCGTCCTCGCAGCTGGCCCACACCCGCGCCAGCACCTCTTCGATCTCATCGCCGCGATCGTGGTGCTCGGCCAGATCGTCGTCGTCGGTGCCAAAGTGCTTCTGCACCCGCTTCGACAGCGCCTCGATCGACTTGCGCACGTCCTTGGCGCCGTACTCCTTGACCAGCCGCTTGAGCGCCGACTTGGAGTAGGTAGAGTGCAGCGAGACCTCGGTGGCGGGCGTCGAGCGCAGCAACGCGTCGATGCCGTCGCCAAAGTCCTAGACGTACCACGCGGGAAAGAAGAAGAGGGGCGAATCGTTAGGATCGAGCGAAGACGTCGGCAGCATGGCACTAAAACAGAGGTCAAGTTTCCGGGCCGCTGCCGTCGGCGCACTCACCATCATCTTGCCCAGTGGTCGCCGCAGGACGCTGGTGCGGTAGCTCTCGAGGCTGTCGCCGTAGATCTTCTCGGCGCGCTTGACGAGCGCATTGAGCGCGGCGTTGCGCTGCTTGGAGATGTTGGCGTTAAAGTACCACATGTTCTCGATCAGGATGATGTGGTGATTGAGCTGACCCTTGTCCTCATCGACGCCGCCGCCATCAACGCGAGAGATGGTCTGCAGCGCGTCAAACATGGCGCGGCAGATGGCATCGTAGTGCCCATCGACGGCGTGGCGGACGTTGAGCGTCTCGGCATTGATGAGCTGCGACTCGACGCGATCGACGAACGTCTGCGCGGAAAATAGCGGGGCGGGCAAAGGAGGGGCAGACGAACTCTGTCAGCGGCTGTCGTCGTGCGAGTAGCACCCGCGGCGGCCGCGGCACGTACCGGGAAGACCTTGATGAAGTGCACGATCCCCTTTCGCTTCTTGACGGTGAGCTTGGTCTGCTCGATGCCCTTGATCTGGTCCTGGATGAAGCGCTCGAGCTGCGAAGCCAGGCGCATCTGCAGCTTCGACAGGATCTTGAGGATCGATTCCGAGTTGAGCTCCTCGGCCTCGATCATTGCCCGATCGAGCGCGGCCAGGAGGCCGAAGATGGAGCTGCATACGTGCACCGCAGCAGTCGTGCAGGGGAGGTCAGCAACGATCCTTCGCAAGCCCCTCGCTACTCTACCCTGAACTCACATCTTCTCCTTTGCCAGTGCAGCGTCGGTGAAGCTCTGCAGCTCGGGTGCTAGGAAGCCAAAGATGAGGTCGAGCGCGCCCTTCATCTCGCGCAGCGGGCCTCCGGTCGACGAGACGCCAAACACGCCCTGCGCACGGCGCCGGAAGTAGGGCTCGAGGTCCATGTAGTCGGCAAACGTGATATTGTTGTCGTTGACGTGGAGCAAGTCGGCGATAAAGCCTTGCTCCCGCAGCACAATCGGGATCACGTTGGACAGAGCCCGTTGGAAGGCCTGAGCAACGATACAGACAGGGAGATGGATCGACAGGGTGTCAGCGCGTTTGCATGCCAGATGAGCACTTCCCGCCAGCGTCTCGGAGCTCACCTCGGAGGCCGAAATGTCGTTTCTGCCCCTACCCAGCTTGTTCTTGTCCCTGCCCGTTCGGCGGATGGTGCCGGACCGAATGGCCGAAGCGGCGACGCTGGTGGTCGCAGCGGGCGCGAAGCTGGCCTCGTGCATGTCCTCGTCAGAGGCCTGCTTGATCTGGCTCTTGTACACCGCAAAAAGCTTCTGCATCTCGGTCTTGTAGCACTCTGACGCAGAGGCAAAGTACGAGGCCGAGACGCGCGAGAAGTTCTGTGGCGAAACCTCCTTCATGTAGAGCAGGATGCCACAGTAGCGTCCCAGCGCGTCCTCCATGCTCGCGTGGTCCCGCAACGTCGGGAGCGGCGGGGCCAGCGCCTTCTGACGCGCCGGGTCGCTCAACAGCCGCTGCGCCTCGACGTTGAAGGTGACGTTGAGGTAGTCCATGACGCGCTTGCAGAAGCGGTTCGACACCGACTCGTGCTCGGCCAGCCTTTCGGTGGCGGCTGCCATGTCGCCGCCGTTGCTGTCGCCATCGCGCTTGGCCTGTAGCATGCTCTTGTAGAGCGAGGCGGCAGCGCTCTCGAGCTGGGCGATGCCCTCGTCGTTCTCCAGCCGGCCTGCGCTCAGCGTGTGCAGGGCCGAGTCGTCGACGTTGATAGTGTTGATCAGATTGTCGATCTCGGCCATCAGCGTGCGCTGGTTCGATGTCTGGACCTGAAGACCGCGGTTCTGGCTCTCGATGTGCGAAATGTCGTCGGCCCTCGAGTTGAGCTGCACCTTGAAGCCTGCAATCATGCTGTCCATCATATCGAGATGCGCGAGCGCCTCCTCCATGTGCTGGACCACGAGGGCCACGCGGTCGTCCGACTCGATGATGGCATGGATGTTGGCCGACTCGAGCGCGGACAGCTCGTCGAGCAGGCGGGCCTCGATGACATCGGCGGTGCCCTTGCCCGTCGCTGGCGCGAGGCCGGAATCCGGGAAGTGCCTTGCGCCGATCCCGCGCCACTCGAAGCCTTCCAGCATCTCTTCGACCGCCTGCAGTGTCGAGTCTTCGTCCTCGTCGTCGTCGAAATTGGCGCTCGCCTGGCTCCGCGCGTGCTCGCTCGAGTCGAGTCTGGCAGCCTTGGGCCGGCCCAGCGTCGCGCGCTTGGCCTGTATCGTCGTCTCCGAGGCCGCCGCCTCGCCGTCTCCAAGCACCGCACCGCCGTATGGGTCCTGACCATCCTCGTCGTCGTCCGCTTCGGCGACTCCGCTGAGGCCGGTGCCTGCAAGCAGCATGCGCTCGTAAGCGGCGCCTCCACGCATAGGCCCGACCGCGCTCAGCCTTGCTCGAGCATCGCCGCTGCTTCCGCCGCTGCTCGCGCTGCGAACCGAGTCTCCGCTGTTTTGTCGGCGTGCCGGCGGCGGGGTCGGTACCGAGAGGCTGTCGGCGCTGACGAGGCGCCGCGCAGAGGGTCGTGGCGGCGGCATGGTCCTCGAAGGCGAGTCCAGGGTCGGTGGCGAAACGCTGCTGGACAGTGCATTGGTGCTAGAGCTCTCGGACAGCTTGGCGGGTCGAGGCTTGTCAAACGAGCTCTGCGATTCGCTCCTCGAGCGGGCGCTCAGGATCGAGGACTTGGACGGGCTGTGCGTGTGCCTGCTCGAGGCGTCGGCGCCACGTGTGGGTGAGGCGGACATTGGAAGGTTGAGCGAGGGGGCTGGCAGGTTGTGCGGCGAGAGTGCCGGAGAGCTGGAGCTGGACGACATCTTTGCGCCATTTTCTGGCCGCCGGGATGGTATGGCGACGGGGGTTGTCTGCGTCGGTGCGGGAGGTGCCGGGCTCGCGTCACGACCGCGCGAGCTGTTGCTGAGGCTGCTTCCGCTGCTGAGCGGCACGTCGATACCTACGAGCTTGGGTCCATTGTCCCCGGTGTACTTGCGGTAGACCTTTACGAGCGTCTGCAGAAACATGAGCTGCTCCCTCGGGTGCTGGGTCTGCCACTTGTAGGGCCGGGTGAGGGTGATGCTGAAGACGTCTGGATCGTGGACGGTCACCTCGCGGAGCGTGTTGAGATCCCAGTCCTTGCCGATGCTGAAGCTGCCATTTGCGTTGCGCTTGGCCTTGTTGATGGTGACTTTGCCAGTGTCCTTCTGGACGGCGAGGATAAGGTACCTGGCCTTCTTCTGGCTGGCCGATGCACCGGTGCCGGCGCTGGGATCCTCGGACGCCACATCCTCCCATATCTTGATGTGTGCGATGTAGTTGTTGGCAGCGTCGCGCGACTGGAGGGCTGCATTGAAGAGCTCCTTGGTCTTGCTGGGGCTGTTGGACCCGCCGGCTGGATTGGTGGTGCCATTGGAGCCGCCAGCGGCGCCGGCGCCGGGTGCCAGCAGACCGTTGCGCTGCGAGCTGCTGGGAGTCGACATGGCCGTAAGCGGTGCTGCTGATGCTGATGGGCCGAGGGAGGGCGTGAGCGAGATGATGCACTGGCAAAATCAAGGCGGTGACGGTGGCGGTGACGAGGCCGATGCCAGGATGATATGGTCCAGCTCCGGGTCGAAGAAGGCCGCTACCAGAGCCGGTCCCAAGGTCTGGCGAGGGAAAGGACGAGTCGGGTTTCCGGGCAGAGGGTTGCTTCAGAAAGTGACAGTCTCGCCGCACAGGCGACGAGGCGGAAGCAGGGCTTAGGACGGGGTACGACAGAGCAGGGGCCGGGCAGAAGACAAGGGTCGAGGTGGTGAGGATCGCTTCGGAGTCGTGGCGAGGCCGAGGGGGAAAGACGGACGGCGTATGTGCTGGCTGCGTGTGGAGCGGCCGTGCGCCGGCCCCACCTTGGCTCTGGGCGGCCTCGCCTGGCCGCGAGTCGAAGGCGATGCGCAAGCAAGCCCCACTGCCCGGCCTTGGGCGGGCTGGCTGGCTGGCTGCCCGGCTCAGACCAACACGCACAGCAGCCTGGCCTCCCTCGTCGTCCTCCACTTGGGGCCGCAGCAGTGGCAGCTCCCAGTCTCTCTTTCACACCACCATCGTCAACTCGGCCTCGTATCACCCACACCCCTCGCAACCACCACCATGTCCTTCCTCGACAAGTTCAGAGAGGTGGCGCAGAAGGCCGGCACCCAGGTGAGCCTCGCTCGGTCACTCCGTCGACCGGTCTTGTTGTCGGCTGAAGCACGCCATGGGGCGAGGAGAGTGTGCGCCTGCATCGACGTGGCACTGACGCCCGACCCGCCCCTTCTTCGGCTCTCGGTCCGATCCGTAACTCTGCCTCACTCCGCCTCAGGCCACCGCATTTGCTCAGACGTCCAGTAGGCAGATCAACGAGCAAGCTCAGGTCGCCCGCGCTGGCTTCTCGTGAGTCGCTGCCGCACCGCAGCTGCTCCATCCCGTCCTCTGTGGGCAGCTCCCAGGCTGAAAGATCGTCCCTCGTCGCTGTGTCGCACCTCAACTGCCCCTCGGCAGGCTCCCGAAGGAGTGCGAAAAGGCGGCAAAGGTCCTGCAGGGCTTCCTGGCCGACCCGGAGCATCCCGACTCGGCGCTCAACTCGATCCCCAAGGCGGTGCTGCAGCAGGCAAAGGGCCTCGCTGTCTTCACCGTCGTCAAGGCGGTGCGTGTCGCGCGTCCGTCACGTACGCCCTTGGGGGCGCTGTGCCTTCTGTCTCGTCTGCTGACGGCCGTCTTCTTCTCGCGCTTCACAGGGCTTTGTCTGGTCGGCAAAGGCGGGCAGCGGTGTCGTCATCGCCCGTCTTCCCGACGGTTCCTGGTCCGCCCCCAGCTGCATCGGAACCGGCGGCGTGGGTTTCGGTCTTCAGGTGAGTGCCGTGTGGTGGGAACCAGCTCGATGTCGTTGGGCGATGATCTGACCATCCCGAGGAGCTCGGCCCTGCGCGCCCGTTCTCATGTTCCCGCCGCAGATTGGTGCAGACCTGTCCGAGTTTGTCGTGGTCATGAACAGCGAGGAAGCCGTCAAGAGCTTCGCTCTGGCCGGCAACCTGACCATCGGCGGAAGCCTCTCGGCTGCTGCCGGGTGAGTCGACTGCGGGACGCTCTCGCCGCAGAATGGCGTCTCCGCCTCGCCGGAAGCTGACGTTGGCGGTCTCTCCGACATGTCCATCCCTCCTTTGCAGCCCCATCGGCACGGGCGGCGCCATCAACGCCGCCATCAACAACCCCACGCCGCTCTTCTCCTACTCGCGCTCCAAGGGTGAGTCTAGGTCCCGGCCCGTCCCACAGCTCGGGACGCCGCGCTCACATCGTATCCCCCCTCCTCTTACTGCTTTCCCTCGGACCCCGACGGCAGGACTCTTTGCCGGCGTCTCGCTCGAAGGCACGGTGCTGGTGGAGCGCAAGGAGACCAACAAGGACTTCTACGGCCAGCCCATCCCGGCCATCGACCTCTTGACGGGCAAGGTGCCCGCGCCCGAGGCGGCCAGCGCCATGTACGAGGTCGTCGAGGCGGCCGAAATGGTCGACGAGACGGGCGTGCCGCAGCAGGCCTACGTCCCCACGGGCGTGCCCGGCCAGACTGACGCTGCGGGCGGTGCGGCGGGCGGCGTGGCCGGCTACGATGTCGGAAGTGCCGACAGTGCCGCGGCGCTCGGTGCGAATGCGGGCAATCGGCCCATCTTTGATGCGTGAGTGTTGCTGCGTTGCAGGGGGGGATTCGATGCCCGGCTTTCTTTGAATGGTGGCCGACTGACGATGATCGTCGACCGCGCCTCTCTCCCCGCTCTTTCTGCCCGCCGCTTGACCTCGCCTCGAGTAGCGGTCAGCACTAGTCTGTGACTTTACACGCGTGCCTCCTCGACCGCTTTCATCGCCCATACCCGCTCCCTTCGACTTCTCGTCTTCTTTCCCGACGACCCGCAATCCAACACCCCTTCAACCGCTTCCGATCACTGTAGACACGTCGACCGCCCCCCTCGTTCCCGCCCTCTTCTCGCTTCGACGAGCGTACCGTCCAGCCGTCCCGCCTCCCAATTATGACAAGGTATGGAAACCCATCACCGGCGTGTGTGCGTGCGTGCGTGGTTGCAGCGCCGTCAACGGCAGAACGCCTGCAAAGTCTAGGGATCGGTCTTGATGTGTGAAACGCAATGGAAGCCAAGAGCAGGATGGAATCGAAGGCGTCGACGGCGTACGCCGCATGGCAGCCATGAGATCCCACGAGTGAGATGAAGACGAAAGAGGAGTGAAAGGACGGCAGGCAGGATGAAAAATGGCGCGACAGTCTAACCTTGTCTAGATGGAGAGGAGGGACGGGAGGCTGAGATGCGGATTGCAGTTGATGCGATGACAAAGAGGCGGAGTGGTTCCGTTGCGATGGAAAGACATGGCTGGACGGGGCGGGGGCGGGGGCGGGTCCACTGCGAGAGTAATAGCTGGTGTGTGTCGGAGCGGCTCGCCATCCTGCAGGGAGTCGGGTGAGGTGAATGGTCTTGATGGCGAGGACGAGCAGCGACCGAGCGACGCGGCCGAGTTCACATGAAGCTCTGCCCGCCCGTCCTGGAGGCGTACGTGTTTCGGTGCGCCCGGCTCTGCTGGTCGAGCTCAGCACGAGAGTTGACGGGGCTCGAGCTGAACGGCACGTCGACTCCGCCCGCGTTGGCAGGCCCGAACTCGTGGTAGGTCGGCGTCCTCAGTCCGCGACTGCTCGGACTGCCGTTGCGACCGCTCGTCCTCGTCTGGATCGGAGGCGGCGGGGCGTGATGCCCGGCGCCGCTGCTGCCGCCGCCGCCAACAACGCCGTAGCTGCGAGAAATCGAGAAGGACGAGGTTGGGATCTTGGGCGCCGCCACGGCAGAGGTGCCACGCAGCCCGATCAGGTTCGTCGGACTCGTGGTGCCGGACCCACCGGATCCGGAGCCGCTTCCGCTGCGGGTGTACAGCTCCCCGCTGCCATCCTGGCTGCGTCGGCGGTGGTAGCCCGACGGCTGCTCGCCCACTGTGCCGCGAGCGTAGCTGGCACTCTTGGGCGGCGTGCCTCCGGAGCTGCCGCTCCAGTTCTCGGGCCGGATACGGTACTTTGCCCTCTGCGAGCCGATCGGGTAGCCGCTGGCATCGATCGACGAGCGCGGATCGGAAGCGAGTGTCGCGTTGGAGAAGCGCGAAGTCGTCCTCGGGCTGCGGGGCGTGACAAAGGCCTGCAGCACTGGCGAGTTCTCGGCCTTTTTCTGGTAGCCCCTCCTGGCCCCTCCGCGCGACCTCGAGGAAGAGTAGCCATCGCCGCCGCTGCTCCTGCCAGATGCCGTCCGGCGATGATTGTTGTTGTCGCCGCCGTCGGAATCTTCGCCGTCGCTCGAAGACTCGTCATCGCCATCGCGGCTATCGCTCTGGGCACCCGCGTCGCCCTCGGCGTTGGTGTCGTACATCGAGGTGCCGGCGTCCGCGGTCGACATCCCCTGGTTGACCATCCCTGCCCGGGTCCCCGTCTGCGCCGATCGGTGCCGGACGGCGGGCGTCGCTTGCACACCGACCTCCTTGCCCTCGCTGCGGGTGCTGGCTTTCGTCCACCACTGGGCAAACTTGCCGATGGCGTTTTCCTCGTCCCACGCGTTGGTGTAGGCGAGATTCGAGGGCAGGCCTCTACGGATCGAGGAGGACGCAGAGATGGTTGACAGGGTCGGCGAAGCGGTGCCCGACGTGCTGCGACCTTCGCTGGCCTCGAAGCTCAGCAGCGCCTTTTTGGCTGCGGAGTCGGACGACGAGGCTGCTTGTTGACCTTGCGGCGCGGGAGGCGGCGGCGGCGGCTTCGGCTCGTCGGGAAAGACACGTGTTGGCGGTGCTGCTGACCTCTTCTGCTCCCACGGGAAGATGGGCTTGATCTTGCTCGGGTCGGGCCGGTCGCTCCCGAGGTTGTCAAAGACGTGATCGCGCTTCAACCGTGGTGGAATGTAGCCAGGGCCGCCGGTCGCCTCCGGGCCGTTGCGCGAGGCGCTGGTGTTCTGCGGCGGCTGAAAGAAGACGGCCTTCTGCTCAGCCAGGGAGCGGGGCGCCCTTGCGCGCTCGTCCCAAACGTTCTGATAATAGGTGTCTGGAGGGTTGCGCATTTGGTAGAACTGCTCGCCCTGGCCCGTGGGAGGCGGCGCGTGAGCAGCGTCCCAGGTGAGCTGCGGAGGTTCAAAGTGGTCGGGCGAGTCCATGTCTCGCAAAGGAGCCTCAGTGGGAGCAGACGGCGCCGGAGCAGCAGCGTAATCCGTTGCGCCTGCTTGAGATGGCTGCTGTTGTTGCTGGAAGTCTCGAGGCTTCGGAGTCGGCGGCGATGGCGGCGGCGTCGGCGTACGAGGCCGCGGTGCAATCAGGCTGATACGGCCATCAAGCGGCAGGCTGTGGTACTGAGCCTCGGGCGCGGCAGCGACGGGCTCGTTGTGGACAGCCGCCTCGATTTCGCGCTCCTTGTCGAGCTTCGCCTCGACGTCCCAGACGGCCTTGTAGGTTGGGACAGTGAACGCAGGTCTCTGCACGACGATAACGCCGGGCGCACTCGGGACCACACTGAGCGACGAGTCCGGGTAGATGGTGGCGCAGGTGTCGTGCCAGAGGGCTAGCAGGTAGTTGGGCTCGCTCGGCCCAATCGTCGGTTGTCCGCCCCTTGGCTGGTCGGCCGCTGCGAGGTGCGGATTTGGGTCCGCGCTGGCCACTGGACGAGGACGGTTCCACGGCTTGTTCTGGCCGATGAAGTGCGAAGCCATGATCGACGTGCCGTAGCGCTGGTAAGCGGGCGCAAAGGTGTAGCCACCGTGCGAGGTGACGTTGTAGCGGAAGCTGAGACGCTTCCATCCACCGCCCGGCGCAGCTTCGGTGGCCGAGGGAGGCGCGTCCTCGTCGGCTTCGGCGCCAAAGTAGTCGTTGAGCAGGCCCTGGTCGGCGCCGTCCCAGCTGCCACGCTCCCTGGCAAACTTGCGGATAGACTCAAAGGTGGCCTCGGATGGCTTGAGCAGCATGAGGCCGCTGTTGAAGGCATCGGGCCAGCCCGTGTCGGGCGAGGCGGCAAAGTTGGGATCCCCTCTGAGCGAGAAGAGATGGTCAATGGGGCGGAGTACGAGCATATCGGCGTCGAGGAAGACAATCTTGTCGTATCCCTGCCAGATCCCGCGACCCGACGCCGACGTGGCGGTGCCAGGCAGCGAGGCTGCGCTGTCACGGCCGAGCCTCCAGACATGGAGCTTGGTCAGCGTGTCTTGTAGGTCGGGTCGTCCTGCGAGGGCGGGAGCAGAGGGAAAGGGCAAGGTAATGGGGACGTCCGGGGTCAGAAAAAGAGGTGGCCCTCACGCGCGGAGCTGCATCGGCACGGAGCCGAAGGAGGGCGGTACCTACCGAGAAGTGCCAGGTTCCTTTCCATCTTGAGCAGGGTATCATTGGCCTCGAGTCCACCGTCGCCATCGGCAGTCGGCGTGGCGAGCAGCTGCTTGAAGCCGATCGGCTCGACGCCGACAATCCAGTCAAATAGGCCGCTGCGGCGCAGTGCCTTGACGGTCTGCACCGAGAGCGTGTCTGGGGTGATCAACGCGACGATGTCGAAGCGCTTGCGGGCGCTACCGGTGGCGCTGGAGGAGCGATCATCCTTGGATATGCCGTGGGCAAGGCGGACAGACTGAGCCAGCACCAGGGCGCCTGGGAGATAGTGGTCCGAGGTCAGGAGAGTGACAAAGGCGTTGTCGGAAGACGCCGACATGGGTGAAGCAGCCATCGGTGCGGTTGGGCCAGCGCGCCTCCTGTCAGGCGGTCGCCAGGCGGTCAATTGCAATCGAAGCGGTGTCGGAGAGCTTGACTAGAAGCGATTGGAGAGGTCGGCCGGTGGCGAAAGTGATGCAAGAGGTAGGGAGAGTCGAGCGGCGACGGAAACAAGGCCGGTCTCGGGATGCGACCGACGAGCAAGGCAGCGAGACCACGGGCACGGGAAACGACAGTAGAGGATGATGGAAGAAGCCGACGCGAGCGGGCGCTCAAGCCGACGGGTGGTGCGAATGATTGGTGTCGGTGCGCCGCAGGGAGGTGGTGGGACAGCGGAAAGGACGACGGTGGCGAGGAGACGAGATGCCAGAGGCTAGACCGGTCGAGGGCGAGGACAAGCAAGGAAGGGGGGGTCCTTGAGCTGAGTACCAGCTGTGGAGAAGCCGTCTCGGGAAGATTGCGCTTCGCCACACATGTGTCCCACCTACCAGCGTGCCTGCTCGCTGCCTGGCGAGTGGCTGGCCTGGCCAGGCGAAGCGAGACGAGCCGACAAACGAATTGGCCGCTCCCTGCCTGTCCCTGTCCCTGCCCTCGCCCGGACGCGGTCCGACCGATTCTTCTTGCACTGGCAGGCCTGCAGCGTGGGCCTGGCCTGGCTTGGCCTGGGCTGTCGGGCAGCCTGCGTGTGACCCGCGCACAAGCGCCGGCAATTTGGGCGCAGTCGATGCTGGGCCCCACGCTCGACCCCACTTGGGTGGCACGCAGCGCTGCAGGCAGGCAGGCAGGCACGCGGCTTGGGTTCCCCAAAAAACCAGTCCTCTGGCCGCCAGCCTGGCCAGCCAAGCCTGGCCTGCCACGCCGGTCCAAGTTTTTGCCCCCCTCGTCCCACCTCGACCCACGCCGACGACCGAAACGCGTCGACGTTCCACAACAACAACAAGCAAGCAGCAACTCGCATCCGCCCGCCTGCTGGCCTTCGTGTTGCTTGCCAGCATCGGGCGTCTGCAGTTGGCCTCGCACGAGCTCGATCAACGCAGACGTCGACTTGCCTTCGCCATTCCCTCCTCATGCCTGCACAGCGCCACGAAACACGAAACTGAACGACAAGCGATCCAGCCCACGGAGAAATCTTAGTCCATAGCCAGACGGCGCGGCGTGCGGCGGCAGACAGGAACGGCTCGAGGCGTGTGCAAGCTTCATCTGAGCCTCCGTGAGGAAATCTCATCTCGTTGGCGGAGTTTTCTCGCTCCCCTCCTGCCTGTCCCTAGCCTCGGTCCATCGCACTTCGGAGGAAATCTGGACGAATACGCTTCGCTCGCTGGCCGGCCGGGCGGGCGAGCGGGCGGCGGAGCTTTGTTTGCCCCTTTCTACCAGGTCAGGCAGCCTTCTTTTGAGTTGTGCATGGTAGCGAGAAGGGTATGATCGACGGTGTGCCCGTCCTCTTCAGCGCTCAGCTCCTCATCTCTTCGTCTTCGACGTCCCGGCCAGATGGGAGCAGGTAGGCGAGGATCGACCGACGCCTTAAGCGCCGAGTTTCGGACAGGGGAGCAATCGATGATGGCCCTCGATATCGGCAGGAGCAGCGCGCGCCGCGGACGCCTCTTGGCCAGCTGGGGCCTTCCATCCTCCCTCTTCCACCCCGCCCTCTTTGTTGACCTTCCTCGTCGACCATTGCACTTGATATGCTGCTCCGTGATCCGTCTGGCGTCACGAGCAGAGCACACCTCGTCGTTGCAGGAGGCGCTTGCTGGTGGCAGACCAAGAAAGCGGGCTGCCTTTCTTGACTTCAGATGGAACCGGCAGGCAGCGCCTACCCAGACCATGCAGGGTCCATCCAGCCCGCGCCCTGCCTGCCTGCCTCTGGAAGCCGATATCGATCCCGGCCGTGGGTTCTTTCTGCCTGCCAACGCACGCGACGGTAGGCGGAGGCAGAGCGAAGCTGGGTTGCAGAGCGCGTGTACAAGAGGTGTCGCCCCCTCGGCCGCACCCGCGCACCGCTCGGGGCCCCATGCCGCTCAGCAGGTGCGATGTAGGTATGTGCGCCGTCCGTCTATCCAGCCTTGTCCTCGGTTCCGCTGCCTTTCTCGCCTGCTCTGTTGCCTCGCTCGTCGAGCGGCTTAAAGCCAGCTGCTCCACCCCACGTACATCTTGGCCAGGTTGTTGGAGCTGGTGGCCTCCTTGATGAGCGAGTCGACCAGGTTGTTGGTCGAGTAGGGCGGCGTCGGCTCCCTCTCGCCCAGACGGTAGATCCGGCCGTCGAGCTTGTTGGCCACCGGGTCGAGCGCACGCCTTGCCTCGGCAACGCGCGGATCCGGTCGGGCCGAGTTCTGCGCGACGGTCGTCCAGAGGCAGAGGGGATGGCAGGGGGAACGTCAGCGGGCGTGAGAGGATGGCCTTCGACACACGACGACCGACTGCACGCAGCTCACCTTGGACCTCGCCCTCTCCTCGGGCGCACCCCACTCGCCGAGCGGATCGTGCACCATGGCCTCGAGCACGCTCATCAGCGAGTCGCGGTTCTCGCGCAGGATCGTCATCGTCACCTCTGCGCTCTTGCGGAAGACGCCCTCGCAGCCCGTGACCCCAAAGGCATCCACCATGTTGTGCGTCAGCCGGAACGGCACCCTTTCTGGGATCTCAAACTTCTGCCCCTTGTCAAAGAGGCAATTGAGGTCGACGTGGACCGTATCGCCGCTGCTCGCGTCAAACAGGATGTTTTCGCCGTGGCGGTCGCCCAGCCCCAGCACGAAGCCGACCATCGACATGACGGCGGCGGTGCGGGCGTACGACGACCGCGCGCTCAGCCACGCCGAGGGCTCCGGGAACGTGGCCAGGAACCACTCGTGAAAGACGGGCGGGAAGTTGGCCAGCACCTTTGTCTCAAAGATGACCTCGGTCGTCTTGGAGTCGTGCGCCAGCCTCGCCTCGTCCATATTCTTGCGGATGTCGTGGTTGTAGATGGCCAGCCCGCGCGCGTTGTAGAGCCGGGTGAGGACGTGGCGCAGCCCGACGGTGTGGGCCACCCACTCGATCAGGCCGTGCTCCTCGTTGAGGATGAGCACCGCATAGGTGCGCACGTAGAGCTTGCGCTTGCGCGACTCGGCGTTGCTCTGCAGCAGCTTGTTGATCATGCCGTCAAACTCCATCAGCCGCGCGTCCTTGCGCAGGTCGTCCTTGGGCTTGCACAGGAACGGGTACTGCCGCCCGTCGCTGCCGAGGATGATCATCTTGCGCGGCTTCTGCAGCGAGTTCATGACCTCGATCCGGTCCTCGAACCCGGCAATCATGGGCAGGTTGGGCGCGAAGGGGCGGTGCTCGGCCGTCACGACGTTGTTCGACGGCAGGCTGATGGTCATCGACGACTGCAGCGGCAGCAGCAGCTCGCACGACGCCGCCGCGTTCTGCAGCCCGGGGAACTGCTCGTCGGTGCTCAGCACCGTCGTCTGGCGCGGCACGTCGTAGTCGCACAGGCGCAGCAGCTCCTTGGCCAGGCTCTGGGAGCCCGTGACGATCCGCATCACCTCCTTGAGATTTGGATGCGTGGCGGGCGCCTTGCTGCCGACGGTGGCGACAATCTGGCCGAACCGCTTCCGCCGCTCGCCGTCCTTGCTGTTGGACCCAGCCACCATCGACCACATGGCCTGCTGCGGGTAGGCCAAGACGACCTGGACGATGATGTCGAGCAGCACGCGCCACGCCTCGTCGTTCTTCTGCACGATCCTTGCCACCAGCTGTGGGAAGACGGCGAGCCACTGGAACGGCAGCAGCTTGCGACTGTACTTGGCCATCAGCTGGTTGAGCTTGCGGAACGTGTCGACGTTCTCCTGCACCGACGCCGAGGCGCTGCTGCTCGCCGATCGGGACGACGTGGCCTTGATGATGGCCGGGTCGCCGGCCACCTCCATCCAGATGGTCAGCACGCGCGGCAGCGTGCGGTAAAAGTACTTGGTGCCCACCTGCGCCGAGCGGAGCAGCGCCTTGCACACGTTGAAGCGCTGCATCAGCGGGTTGGGCAGCACGCGCTCGTGCGTGTCCTGGTAGTGGCCAAAGTAGTAGAGCATCTTTTCCGAGCTCGGATGCTCGGTCACCGCCTCCTTATACCGCTCGTAGACCTCGGTCGGGCCGTAGCGGAACGTCGCATCGAGCAGGCGGGCCCGCAGCAGGCAGGCCTTGGCGTACGCAGTGCGGTCGATCTGCACCGCCCGTGCCCCGGCCGTGGAGTCGGTAGGGGCGCCCGCTCCGGCCGTGGCGGTGGCGTTCGTGTTGGGCGCCACCGCCGCTGCGACCGACTGGATCGAGTTGTTGAGGTCCTGGATGGCCTTGTGCGTCTGCTCATCGAGCGCGAGGAGCTTGACTCGCTGGATGAAGGCAAAGGGCGCCTGGCACTGGGTGGCCTGCAGCATCGCCGAGTAGGCGGTCTGGCGGTGTCCGGCGCGTCGCGCAATCTTGGCCGTGGCGATCCAGGCATTGCCGACCTCGGTGCGCAGGGCGGGGTTGAGTTCGATGGCCGAGAAGGCGGTCCGCCGAAGGCTGAGGATGGGCTCGCGCGTCCGGAACGAGGGCAGCGTGGCGTTCAAACGCGAAGTCAGCGACCGGTTTAGGGCGTTGGCGCTGGCCGACGGCAGCATGATGCCCTCGTGGGCGCCGCGGATTAGCTGCAGCTCGTGGAGCATGTGCAGCTGCAGCACCACGTCGTACATGGAAGAGTAGGAGCCCTTGCCGGCGGCTACGATGGGCTTGCCGAGCTGCCGACGCGCGTCGGTGATGACTGCGTCGAAGCTGCCAGAGTCCTTGGACCGCATGGCCAGGATGGCGCGGCCGATGGCGTGCTCGGGGCTGTCGGCCGTCGGTTCCCTCGACAGCGAAGACTCGAGCTGCTCCCAGTCGCCCAGGATGCAGGCGCCTTCCACCTGGAAAGAGGCCAGCAGCGGCTCCCACTCCGGGTGGACGCTCAAGGCGCCGCGGATGTGCGTCCGCATCGTGTCGTAGTGGCCCAGGCTGCGCAGGCACCGCAGCAGTCCGACGTGGAGCGACGCGTCGTCGGGCCGCTGCTGCAGCTCGACCTCCCAGCAGCTCTGCGCCGACGTCCAGCGGCCGGTGCTCTCGTGCTCGCGGATCTGGTGCTCGAGCGAGGGCGAGACGACCCTGGTCGAGATACCCTCCATGCCGTCCGGCTCGTCGAGCGATGCATAGATCTGGTGGAGGTGCTCATAGTAGGTCTGCAGCTCGCCGTCCTGCCGGCCGCTGTCGGTCTTGAGCGATCGGATCCGCTGCTCAAAGTTGAGCAGGGACCGGGCGTAGGCCTTGCACTGGAGCGAGGCCTGGGCGGTCAGCTCCTGCGAGATGGATGCGGTGAGCGACTCGACCGACGACAGCGCCTCCTCCGCCTTGGGCAGGCGGCCCCTGCGCGACAGCTTCGAGATGCTCTGCCGCTTGAGCCGCATCCAGACGCCCAGGTGGTCCATCAGCCCGAAGATGGTCTGCGCAGACAGCAGCCTGCGCTCGGCATCGTAGCCCGTCTTGGGGTCCACCTGGTCGGTCAGGACCGCATTGAACTCGAGCTGGATATCGCCCTTGGCCTGGTCGCTGCCAGAGATGAGCGTGTGGAGCAGCACGTGCGGGAGGATCTGGCGGGCGATGGTGATGTCCTGGTCACGGATGGCGATGCGGAAGATGCCAAAGACCGAGATGGCCTTCTCGTCGGTGATGCCCGAGATGAGTTGGTTGGCCCAGCCCTGGAGCCACTCGCGGTAGGACCGCGTGTGAAGGTAGATCGGCGTCTCGCGGATCGTCAACCGGCCGACCTGGACCATGTACTTGGAGTCGAGCAGCGGTATCACAGTGTCGAGCGTCGCCTGGGGCAGGTCCGACCAGCGCTGCCGCGTCTTGACCGAGACGGGCCTCGCGCTCGATCCGGACGCCAGGACGGCCGGCGTAAAACCGCAGACCTTGAGCAGCTCCTGGATCGCGTAGGCAAGCGCCGACTGGTGGCCCGTGTCGTCGGTTGCGCGGAAGGCCGGCACGAGGAGGTCGCGGATGAGGTGGATGGCAAAGTCGATCGACTCGTCCGGATCCTCGAGGTTGTGGAGCATGGTCCGGATCGGCTCGTCGAAGCTCGAATCGAACCGGTCCGGATCGACGGCGCCGATCGCGCCCAGGCAGTCGAAGCAGAGACTGCGGATGTCGTCCTGGAGGCTGTCGCTCTTGGCTGCGGCCGCAAACAGGGTCCTGACGCAGTCTCCCACGAGCGGGCCAAACGCGTCGCCGGAGGTGAGGTTCTGGACGTACTCCTTCTCCTCGGAGAGAAAGGTGCGGAGCTCGTGCAGCGACTGCAGGCAGATGGCCGAGTTTTCGTGGGCTGCCCGGTCGAGGATGTTCTTGAGGCGGCTGTCCGGGTTCCAGCCGTCGCGCAGGCCGCGCAGCTTGCGTGCGATGGTGGGGATCTCGGCGTCCAGGCTGTCGAGGCTGGGGATGTCCTTGATGAACGACGTCAGGTGCTCGGCGTTGTCGACGACCAGGTACCGCAGGATCGCGGTGGCCAATTCACGCGAGGCCGGATCGAGATGCGGCCACGCCGACAGCAGCGCGGCGGCCGTCTGGCCCACAAACGGCCCGATATCGTCAAACTTCATCGTCGTGATGAAGACGCGCCAACTCTCTAGCGTGCTCTGCGCCAGGCCCGGCGCCTGCAGCGTGCTGTTGAGCGTCGCCATAATCTGTGGCGTGACGGCGCTGATGGGGGGGCCGATGATCTCGACTAGCGCACCGATGCTGCGGGCCGCCTGAGCCCTTTCAGAGACGGATCGCTTACCGTGCTCGCCCATCAGCTCCTGGTTGACCCAGGCCAGCACCGCGAGGATCTCATCACGGAGGAATCTGGCGACGCGCTGCTTGTTGTTGGCTTGCTGCTGCTGGCCCCGCTGCCTGTGTGCGGCTGCCGAGTCGTTGATCGTCTCTTCGATGTACTCGAGCCCCTCGTAGGCGCTGGTGCGCGTCGCAACGTCGCCAAGCTTGACGACGAGGTAGCCGACAACGTCGTGCTGCCGGCTGCGGAGCAGGCTCTTCATGTTGGCGGCGTCGATGGCGATCAGGTCGAGCAGGACGGCGAAGGCCTCGGTCCGCTTGGCGCTCATGCGCAGAAAGACGTACTTGAAGATGGCGGTGATGTGGTTGAGGCACATCTTGGCTACGCTGGTGCCCAGCGCGCGGGCGATGAGCTCAACCATCCTGCGTCCCTCGTCGCCCGTGCCGGCGCCGCTGCAGATCATGTCGATCAGGTGGGGCAGCGTGTACTCGATCGTGGCATTGAAGAAGCCCTGCTGGGTCATCTTGAGGAGGTTGAGCACGCCCGTCCACAGGTCGGGCATCGAGCTGAAGAGGTCCACGATCCTGGTGCTGATGAGGCCTAGATGGGGCCGGAGCAGCTGGAACGTCGTACACCGCCGCCGGGCCGCCAGCTGCACGATCTGCGTGTGCGCGAGCGCCCGGAGCAGCGGGTTGGGGCAGCTCAGCTTGAGCGTCAAGGAGAGCAGGCAGGAGCCCTGCAGGTGGTCGTCGGGCACCGAAACGAGCGAAGCGACGGCAAAGATGGCCGCCTCCTGCAACTTGGGTCGGAGGCTGTCGAGGAGGCCAAAGGGCTTGCCGGCGACGTTCCAGATCCGCTGCCTCCTCACCTCGGCCTCGACGTTCAAGCGCGTCGCCACCGCCACGATGCGCGACAGGAAGGCCGTGGCCATGTCGCCGGTGGCGAGCCGCGCGCTCCTCATACGATGTTCGAGACCCATCGCGACGATCGCCGCAATCCTCTCGTCGACGATGGCCCACACAGCCTCGTCGGATGCGTGGAGGATCAGACGGCGCAGCGCGTCGAGGCACGGCGCGGCGAACGGCAGTTGGCCACTCAGCATGCGGCCCGTGAAGCTCACCCACGCCGCCACCACGGACGGTGCCAGCGCTTGTGGCGGGCGACCGGCGGCATCGCCCTCGCCGAGTTCCTGCCCCTCGTCGCAACTGATGCATCTCCAGAGTGAAGACTCCTCCGACAACCCGTCCGCACGTGAAGATGCCTCGAGACGTCGCAGGGTGCCGGCGGTGGCACACGCGAGGGCCGCCTCGAGACGGCAGCGCGGCAGCAGATGGCCCGCTTCTTTGAGGGCAGTCGTGCTGCCAATCGAACGTGAAGGTTCAGCAGATGGAGAAGGTGAGCAGTCCGTCTATCATTGAACGCATGAGCCTGAAGGAGAGCTTCGTGGGACAAGCTCGTAGCCGCAACACTCACCTCAATCCAGCTTGGAGGCTCGCGAGGTCGGGCCCATAAGCTTCGAAATGTGCCAGCACGTCCTGGATGGACACGGCATTCCCGTCAGAGGACGCAGTGCTGTTCTTGCCAGTGCGACCATCGGGTCCGGCCGTGTGCGAGGAGCTTTCGCGCTTGCGCTTCCTCGAGCTTGTTGCGATCGGGGCATGCCTCTGTCCGGCTAGCACCGCCAGCAGCCGCTCGGCGTCTGACCGAGAGATGCCGGCGAACATGTATCGTTGCGGAAGCGTGTCGCTGGACGGCTCTTCGGTGCCTTCTTGGTCCCAGGAGAGCCGCTCGTCGCCGAAGCGTCGTAGTTCTGTCTCCTGTTTGGCAGCGACACGGCTGCCACCTTCCAGGATGAGCAGCACTGCCGCCATCACGCAGCTCTGAGGAAGAGGACGGCGGCGACGACGATCGGTAGGAAGTCAGCGATCCAGACAGACAGCGTATGCAGCGGATCGTCAAGGGCACGGTTGTTGCTCATCAGTGAGCGCATCGCATCTCCGACGCACCTTTTTGGCCGCGACTGTATGCAACGCCGACTTGCCGGCATCGTCGTGTTCGCCGATGAGCCTGTCCAGCTCCTCCTGGCTCAGGCTATGCACAACTTCGCGCACCAATGAAGCACAGTGTGGGTGGAGCTGCGCCAGGAAGCCATCGCGCGCCGGTCCGTCCGATGTCCGCATGGCGTCCACTGCTCTTTTCAGCGCTTGGAGCAGCGCAGCCTCTTGATGCACATCGTTGGCGGCAGATTCGGGCGATGAATCGTCTGCGAGGCCGCCCTCGACTGCGTGGGCCAATGTCATCGCTAGCAGTGCCATCAGTCGGCTCGCAGCGATGGGAGATTGTCGATGGATGGCATCGATGTGCGTCACGACCACGTCGAGCCTCCAGGCATGGAGCTGCCACGGCAGTCCCTGCGGGTGCTGTCTAGCGCCCGCGCGAGTGGCGAGGCTGTCAAACTGCCAGCTCGAGAGCAGCAGCTGGACAGCAAGGTCGCCGAGGTCGCGGGTCTCCGAGGGAAAGTGGGACGAGACGCATAGGCAGAGCTCGATGGCTGCCAGGAGCAGGGCGTGGGCCGTAATTTGGCGCCGAAGGTTGCACTCCGGGTCATCCATAAGACGAAAGGAAAAGCTTGAGCTCGCGCTGGGGTCCGCGGCCATGCCTGCCACCAGCTGGTCCGACGGTTTCGGCCGATCCTGCCTCGAGCTCAACCGAAAGCCCCGAGGGTGCCGATCGCTAGAGAAGAATCGAACCTCGAGGTTGTCGGCATCCACGTCGGAGCGATCCACGCCAGATCCTCTGTGGTCCAGGCCGACGAGGATCGCAGGCGGGAGCACGACTTCAGGCATAAACGACGGCGAGCCGACCTTGGAGAGCGCCTGGACCGCTGCCCTGAGCGATTCGATCAGGACCAGTCGGACGTTGTCGACCTGGTTGAGAGAGTCGAGGGAGATCTCGAGGACCGAGGCGAGGACCCGGACGGTGGTCCGATGCATCGAGTCCAGGAGCGGGGCCGAGGCGTCCGTCGCGCTGGAAGAGCGGCTGACGAGCAGAGTCGCAGCGGCGGCCGAGGCGGCCAGAAGGCGGGGTGCGAGCCACACATCAAAGGTGGTGTTGTGGAAGCGTGCTGGCCCTGCCCCGGCAGCGGCATGCGGCTGCTGGCAGACGAACAGGTGCTCGAGGAACTTGGGCGAGGCGCGCATGGTCGCCTCGAGCGTCTCGAGCACGCGCGACATGGTGATGGCCTTGCGATCCGGGTCGGACCGCAGCAGGGCATAGCTCTTGCTGCGAAGGTCCGTGAGCGGCACCACGAGCCGGTTGACGAGCAGGCGGTTAAGCATGTGCGCGTTGGCCTCCTGGGAGGCTGTGTCGTCCTGGGAGCGGTCGACGCCAGCAGCCGCGCCGGTGTCTGTGGCGCGCGCATCGACCATGTCCCTGGCCACGAGCTGAGATGCTGCTTCAAAGGCGGCCGCAGACGGGGCATCAGTGACGGCGTGACGCTTGTTGCCGGTGACAGCTGAGCCATCGGTGCCGCCGGCAAGCTGACCAAGGATGGCGTGCAGGACATTGTCGAGCACCTTTGCGCTCCTGTCGCCGTCGTTCACTCTGCCGGGATGGTCCGCTTCCGACGCCGAGTGAGGGGCGGCGGCGACGTTGGCGGTGGCAGCGGGCATCGTCAGGGCGTGGAGAATGACGGGCAGCGGTCGATTCAGGCGCTCGCACGTCCAAGCATTCTTCCGACGTGCCTCCTCGTGAGAGCTCGGGCGATGGTGCCGGTGGATGCTGGATCGGGTGCGCTGAGCGCGACAGGGAGCGGCGATGGCGGTGGCGAGAGCGCAATGCAGGTGAAGGGAGGGAGAAGCCGACGAGCAAAGAGCTTGCCAGCAGCAGGATCGAGTGTGGCGGCGGCCACGCCCACGCAGCAACCGAAGACAGCGGAGTGCATGTGGCCCAACCGCCCGCGCCTGCGCTGCTGCCCCCCGAAATCCGACCCGGAAATTCAAAGCGAAAAGGAAACCGCGGTGGGTTGGCGCGATGCGACGCGCTAATGGCCAGGCAGGGGGCCAAGCCGGATGATTTGCGAGCTGCGCTGCCCGGCTCGGCGCTGCTGGCCCCGCCCCGCGCCGCCCTCTTGCGGCAGGCCAGACCCAGCTAGTTCGAGGCGGGGAAGAATGTTCTGAGCGGAGCGACCGGCTACCCTGCAGCACACTATTTCGCTCGGGCCAGAGCCACTCTCCGACACTTCTAACGGCATCAGGGCGAGAAGCAGTCGACAGACGTCGTGCCCGGCCCGGCCAGGCCCGGCCAAGGCCGCCACATTGCCCGGCTGAGCGGTGATGCCGAGGGACGGAGCGACGACGTTGCAAAGGCGCAGACAGGGGACACGAAGAGAGGTTGCGGTAGAAGTACAGGTTGGCCGAGGGTGACCTGTCCGACGGGATACGGGTACAACAGCTGGAGAGGGGGGCAGCTTCCCCTCGAGACGAGGACGGTGCGCGAGGCTGGGAGAGTGCCGAAGCACACTTGGCGATTTTGCTGCTTGGCTGGATGGATGCATGACGGGAAGACGGACAAGCGTGGACGTCACCGTGTCTGCGGGCACGCATGACATGCTCAACGGCAGAGGCGGTGGGCTACGGGCCAGGGCGTCGAGTCCCGGGCGACGACGCCTGTCGCTACGGACAAAGGTGGTCCCGTGCCCCCCCTAGGAACGCTTACGAGCGGCCTTCTTGGCGGCAGGCTGCTGCTTCTTAGACGATCCGCTCGCCTTGGACTTGTAGGTTGCCTGTCCCTGCTTGCCCTTGCCCTTGGCGCGAGTCGGTGACTGGGAAGAGGGGGGCATCTCCGCCAGCAGACGAGCCTGGCGGTCAATTCAGTCCGACGGGCCCTCGAGCGCACCGGGTCCACGATCCGCCTTCTGACGCGCCAGGTGCTCACCACTTGGCTCTCCTCGTCGTCGTCGGTCGACGACACGTCGGGCTCGTTTCCTCCGGTGTCGCTGCTGAGGCTGCCGCTGCTGACGCTGGTGCGGTCATCGTCGTCGCTGCTGTCGTCGTCATCGCTGCCGCTCTCGTCGCTGCTCTCCTGCTTGCGGCTGGTGGAGGCCTTGGTCTTCTTGGCCGTCTTCTTGGAGGGCGATCCGGCCTTCTTGGCCCCGGTGGCCGCCACCTTCTTCACCTTCTTCCTCGCCTTGACCTCGGTGACGGGCTTCTTCTTCTTCTTCGTCTTGACCTCGGTGATGGGCTTCTGCTTCTTGGGCTTGATGACCTTGGGCTCGACCTGCTTGTGGATCACCTTGCCCGCCAGCTTGACCTTGCCCGTCAGGCCTGGAGAGGGGCCGAGCAGAGGACATGAGTGGACGACAGACGTCTCGCACCGAGGTTTGGACGGAGGGGGAGCGGTGGGCGGGGGCCGTTGTGCGCACCTTTGGGCAGCAGGAACTCCTTCTTCTCCATGCCGCTGTGGATGGCTCGGTTGATGTTGTTCTTGGTGGTGGGGCTGAGCGGGTCGAGGCCGTACTTGTTGGCGATGCGCTTCTTGATCGTCTGGCGTGAGGTGCCGGTCTTGTCCGCGTCGTCAATGATGACCTGACGAACCTGTGGTGTCGTGGCGAGGCACGGCGACGGTCAAGAGGGCGAAGAGAAGGCAGCATCACGGCGAGGCGCGAAGAGCGACATGCAGATCGCCACCGTCAGAGCGGTGCGGTCCATGTCAGGCGCCAAGACGGGGTCTCTTAGCGAGCTCACCATCTCGAGGTAGGGAGGGTGCTTGAGCACCACATGAGTCTTGGCCTTGGCCTTGCTCGCCGCCCCCTTGGGCTTGAGTCCAGAGACCTTTGCCATGGTGTGTGCGAGCGGCTGGCGTGGCTGCTGTCGCGCTTGGACTGGGAGGGAACAAGGTGCGTGCGGGACTGCGTGAGTCGCGGCGAGAGGGGGAGTGCAAGCAGAAGGGCTAGCTACGAGGGGTGGCAACGTGGGGAAAGAGGCGACAGGGACGAGGGCGTCGATGGTGGTGGTGGTGGTGGAGGTGATGATGGTGGCGCTGAGTGACGAAGGGTCGAGGAGCAGACGGGCTGGGTCAGACGCGCGGGCAGGCAGGCTGCAAGCAGGGCCAGTCGAGGTGCGTGTGGCGACAAGGGCGGTCCAGCTCGCGGCCCAGCCGGTCTGCCCTGGCCGACCCTGGCCTCGCCTGGGGCTGCTGGCCCGCAACGCATGCAGTCGCCCGTACGGGCGTGGTCTGGCCTGCTTGGCGTGGCCTGGTCTGACCCGGTCCTGCTGAGCTGCGTTTGTCGCGACCAACGGCAGGCCGGTCGTCGGCATCTTCGGCGCGGCGAAGCAAGCAGCAAGCAAGCCTAGCCTGGGAGTTTGAGGCAAGAGGCCGGGAGTCTCTCGCTCGCTGGGCTTGGTTGGCCCCTGCTCGCCGCCCGCTGGTCGCGCTGGAAAGCTGTGCCTGCCTAGCCTGCTTCCAGAGGCGTGGCCGGCCATGGCCGGCTGCTGGCTGGCTCAGGCGCCTCGATGATTCAGCCCGAGGGCCCGAGCGCTGCCAGCAGGCGGGCAGGCAGGCGGCGCAGGCAGGGGCCAGCCAGCTCAGGGCCATCAGCCCGCTGCTCGACGACCTGCTCAGTTGCGCGTCCGGCCTCTCATCGCCCAGCCAGCCGCCCCACCTGGCTCGTGCCTGGGGCACTTCGAGATGGCTCACCAGTCGGCGCAGAGGCCTGGCTTGGACACTTTCTTGAAGAGCAGGCAGGCAGCGCCTCGTCGCGCTGCTGCTGCTGCCTAACGCGTCGGGGGCAAGCGGCGTGCTGGCGTGCTCGCAGGCAGGGGACGGCGCACGCGTGGTAGACGTCGCGGGGCGAGCGGTTCAGGCGCAGCGGTACGGTGTTGCGCCTGCCTGCTGCCCCACCGACGGTCCTCGCAGAAGTCCTGCTCGTCTCTACCACCACCACCACCACCACCACCAACACCACCACCACCACCACTACCAACAATCAACTTCGAGCTCCATCGAGCCACACCTGCCTGCACCGCGCCCACAAAAGCTTCAACGACCCACCTCCGCCATCGTCAGCGGCAACGTGGAGAGTCCCGGCGGTGGGCTTGCGACGCCCCGCGACTCCATTCGAGCCTTGATTGACCCACGAGGCTCTGGCTGAACGACCGGTGGGCTGCCAGAAGAGGGGTAAAGAGGCACACTCGTGTTCGCGGATGGCCCGTCTACCCACTTTTCGACCGCAGCCATCACTGTGCGTTTCGACGAACCGGCGGGGTCAGAGAGCGTCCAGGCGCCGCACTACCCTGGCCGCCGCGCGCCCCCGTCGAGACGTCGAATACCGCCGGGCAAGGCGGCGGTGTTCCCTTGCACGGCTCGCGCACACCCGGTCTTCTCTCTGCATCGAGGCAGCGCCCTTATTGCCCGGGTGCATGCCAAGCCGTTGAGCCCAAGCAAGGTCATCCTCGAGCAACGGACGCAGCGCCACCATACGGCGAACGGTGTTGAGGCTCGCGCGGACCTGCTCGCCGCCTCGCTTATCGCTGCACCCTAGATTGCCGGCCACGTACACATCAGGCAGCCGAACGGCAATCTTCCCCGCACGAAGGGGTCGCGCAGCTCCTCTACCTGGGGTGCAGCCGCTCACCACGGCAACTCGACGAAACGGCGACGGCAATCTCCTCCGCGGCAGGAACAAGAGAGGACATTGATGGAGCTGACGATGATTTGTGGGTGGGTCATAATGGCGAGGTGGGGTCGAGGAGCTGTCAGGGGGGAATCGTGCGCTCTAGTGCAGCGTTGGGGAACGAGAGCCGACCTGCCATCATCCAAGGGAAGAGGAGCGCCAGGCTTCCCACATCAGCGATGGGGTCGCAGCGCCATCGGCCCGGAGCCGCCTGCAACCATGACATCGGTACAGAACGTGGATGCAGTAGCCTCGTCCGCCGCCGTGCGACCCTCGCTAGGCGAAAGGGACGCCATAGGGCCAACAAAGGCTGCCTCTGCGCTATAAGAAGCCCCCGCCGGTTGCCCTCTCCATAGAGACCAGCATCACTGCTCCCTCTCCTCTTCAATCGCAACGAGCGCGCCTGCTCACCGTCCCACCTCCGCTCCGTCCTTCACTCCGCAAAATGAGAGCGTCCACCTCGTTCAATGTCGCCTTCGCCGCCCTTTGTGGCCTCGCCACCTGGGCCTCGTCCGCTAGCGTGAGTGGCGCCTGCCTTACCAAGGGACGATGGCCAGCTTGATCGATATGTCGACCCACTGCTGACCCTGCTTGCCTTGCCCTCTTGGCCACATCTGCTCTCAACGGCCATGGACACGAATGCGACCCGCAGTCGGCTGCCATCGAGAGGGCCGCGGCCGATGCCAAGGTTGGCTACGCCTTCTTCTACTTTCGCGGCGACTCCGCGGGCCAAGAAGAGGTGTTTGCCGCCGTTTCCAAGGGCAACAGCCCGCTGTCGTGGGACCTCATCAACGGCGGCAACGTCTTTCTGAGCTCGAACCAGGGGACCACGGGCGTGCGGGATCCTTCGATCGTTGCCTCGCCCGACGGCAGCAAGTTCTACATGCTCGGCACGGACCTCAAGGTGTCGGCCACGACCTGGAGCGCCTCGGCCCGCACCGGATCGCGCAGCATCCTGATCTGGGAGAGCACCGATCTGGTCAACTGGGGACAGCCGTGAGTGCGGCACGGCCGTCGTGTGGCGTCCTCATCCCTGTCTCGGGCGCACGCACTGACCCACCGCACGTTGATATGTCCCTCGTCGCCTCGCTCGCCGCCCTGCCCGCTGCTGTGCCCCGAATGACAGAGCGCTGAGGGAGGTGGTGGGTCCGACGGCGGGTAACGCCTGGGCGCCCGAGGCCATCTGGAACCCGAGCAGTCAGTTGTACGAGGTCTTCTTCTCGTCTGCCATCTACCCGGCCAGCGACCCCAAGCACGAGACGGGCACGTACCAGCGGGTGATGAAGACGACGACCAAGGACTTTGTCTCGTTCACCCCGGCGGTGCCGTACATCGACGACGGCAAGAACGCCTACATCGACACGACGTTCCTGCGGGCGGGCTCGAAGCTGTACCGCTTCACCAAGGACGAGAACTCGGTGTCGAGCAGCGACCCGAACGGCAAGATGGTCTTCCAGGACGTCTCTTCGGACGATTCGCCAGACGGCAAGTTTACGCGGGTGGCCAACGCGATCGGCAAGGGATCCATCAGCCAGGGCGAGGGCCCCACGGCCTTTGTCGACAACAATGATCCCAACAAGTCGTGGCTCTTCATCGACGAGTTTGGCGGCCGCGGCTACGTGCCCTTCTACAGCACCGATGTGGCCTCGGGCAAGTGGCAGATTGCGTCGGACTGGTCGATGCCGAGCAACAAGGCGCGCCACGGCACCGTGCTGCCCGTCGACCAGAAGCGGTACGATGCGCTGCGGAAGCTGGTCAGGGCATGATGCGTCCTCGATGCGCGACGGCCGGGCAGCATGGAAGGTCTGCCAGGGTACCGTTTGGTATCCACGCACGACCTGAGGGCGGAAAAGGTGGTCGTGCGAGAGCGGGCCCCGACTCGGCTCCGGGTGCGAGAAGAGCTTGACAGGGTGGCCCGGCTTGATCGCCGTACGCGTCGTCTATGGTCGGCGAGGTGAAGCTCGACGCACCGGAACAAGAATCTCAGATGCGACAGCGCGTTGCTGACTCGGTGTTGACCTTACCACACCTTAGACGAGATAGAGATGGAGAGAGATCGAGGCAAATGAGAGCAGAAGGCCGGAAGGGCATGAAACCCCACGTCACACGAGCTGGACCCTGCCTGCTCGCCGCTGCCTGCCGTCCGTCAGCTGGGGAGCACCGACCGTCGCCCGGGCTTGGCCCAGATCTGACCAATGACGAACGGACCTCGAGCGCGAGCCCGATGGTCAGCCCGATCCTAGTCAGCGAGGGCCAAGAACGGAACATCGAAGTTTCCATGCAGGCGCCGCCACCCGCAGAGAGACAGACGAGGTCGACCGGGCAACAGGTCAACAGCCGAGCAAACGCCGCCCATCCGAAGCCACGCACCGACGGCGACCGCTCAGCCTGCCTGCCTAGCCTCAGCCATTTTGACGGCGGCAGCAGCATATGCATAGTTTTCGCCCGAGGGTTGCAGACCGCGGGAGGCCCTCGTCCGACGATTGATCGGTCGGTGAAAGGGGCGGCAGCTCGGAAGCGGCCCCAGGCCGCCTTGCTTGCTTGGACTCGGCCTCTGCCGTTTTCCTCCGCCTGCCTCCGTCACAGGCCTGGCCTCGCCCGGCCCAATCGGCTCGGAACGGCGGCAGATCGGGGACACGGGCTGCGCAAGTCGGCCGGCCGCACGTGAGGTGCGCTCTCTAAGGATCTGCGGCCAGAAGCGCACGCACGGTGGAAAATCTGCAGGGCGACTCTAAATCTCGTCGACCGCATCTTGACCCCGGCGTCATCTCAGCATCATCGGGCGCCCGACCCCGGCGTGCCTCCTTGCCTGACCGCACGTCACCTCTTTTGTTGGCTCACCTCGGCCTGTGTCTCTTAGCTCTTTTCGGCAGAGGCAGACTGCACTGAAAGCGAAAGGCTGCTCCAGCCATGCTCCAGGACGGAGCTTGTTGCTCCATCTCGCCTTGTCCCCTGTGCAGACGACGGGGCGGCGGCGGCGGCGCTGTCGAGCTCGGCGCCGGCTGTGGCCACCGGACGGACAGACGGGCAGCGGCCAATTGCCGCTGCAAAGTCCCGAAGCCGTGCCATTTGATTTTCCAGGTGGGTGCGCATTTCAAACCCGAGGTGGAAAATCCATCTCCGCCTTGGCTTTGTATTGGCCAACCTGGGGGATGCGGATACAATGGGCGAGCCGAATTTTTCGTATTGCCGGGGCGGCCAGAGGCGGTCGGCGGCCAGCTTCGATCTTCCGGCTGGATCGCGGAAGGCAGCCAGCCCTCTCCTCTGTCGCCCCCTCGAGCCCTGCCCCGTCACCACCACCACCATCATCATCATCATCGTCGCCCGCCCGCCCGCCCGTCCGTCCGTCCCGCCTGCCCGACTGCCCATTCAGCATCACCGTCCGTCATCCCGCCGCACGCTTCGACGTAACGACCCTCAATACAAACACCCCGCTCCCCGCCCTCGTCCCAATACAAGCACCCATAGAGCTCTCCACCCCTCCCCTTTCCGTATCCGTACGCACCGACGCTCGTTCTCGACCTAGCCTTCGCCCGACCCACGCATCATCTCCCCCCTGTCCTCACACAGGCGTGCGCCTGCGGTTGCACTACCCTGTACCACAACGCGCACGCTCGCCTGGTACCGGTACCCGTGTGACCGTCCACGTACGATCCGGTCTGCCCTTCACGTCGACGCCATTCCGACGTCGCTACCCTAACGCCAGGCAGACGACTACCTCTCGCCCCTGCCGCTCTCTTGCGTAACCTTCCGGCCGGTCCGACAACCCCACCTACCGCCCATCTAGGCACGTCTCTGGCCTACGATCTGCCGGTACACTTCCGGGACGATCAACCGGCGCCAGATTCGGTCCATCGTCGAGATCTCTGTCCCACATCGACCTCTGCCTCTCCCAGCGCATCCCGTCTAGCGACAGCGCCAACCTTCTCTGCTTCGGAGCGGGCCAGGGTCTTCGCACTCCCCCCGCCCTTACCTACTCCAGGCACGATCTCACCTGAATAGACCAAGCGAGACTCGCCGGTTGCACGGCTGTCGAGGTGAGCACACGACCTCTCGCGTCTCGGCAGGCACGACGATGCAGGATTGTTGGGGCGGCTTGCGGTACACCCAAGCGCGCCCAAGCGTGCCGGCGTATCAGCAGGCGACAATGCCGTGTCGACTTCAGTCCAGGCGGCCTTTGGGGTGCTCTTCGAGCGAGACAGAGAGACGGCACAGGCGGAGAGTGCGAGCGAGCGAGCAAGGGGCATCCTACTTTTGCGTCGGTGTTCGGGTCGAGGTGGCTGAGCATGTATGGCACTGGTGGCAGGATTTGCGTCGGCCTTGCTACGGGCCCGCTTGCAAGAGCGAGAAAAAGAGCTCGCTCGCTCTTCCTTGCTTGCTTGGCTGGCTCCAAGTCGCAGTCGCCGTCGCCGCTGCCGCCGCCTTCACCCGTTCAACGCTCGTTACCCTTGCCCCCCCGTCTCGCTGTGTTGCCTTCTACCCGGCCGCCACCCTCCTCCCATTGTTCGCTCGCCACCCGTGCCACCTTGGTGCCCCGAGCTGACACGTTCCTCTCCTCTCCGACCCTCTCACCTCTTCCCGCGCCTCTTTCCTTCGACCTGTTCGACGGCTTTTGCCACCGTACCATTTCCACCTTTCGACATATCTTCCTTTTTCGACGTCTCTTTGGCTTTTCGGGGTCGATTGCAACCTCGACCACTGCGGACTGCACCATTCTGCAGCCCCTTTTGCTCAGCGACCAAAGGATTCTGCGCCGACGAGATTTCTTTTGTTGCATCGCTCCCCTCAACACACCTCTCGATTGCCACCACGGTTCAGCATCAGCCGAGCTCGTTACTGTTCTCGACTTTCATCAACCCTCGCGAAGCGCTCGGCACTCTCGCCTCGACTGTCGATCTCGACCTTTTCGTGCATCCCAGCTTCCCCCTCCCAGCGATCTCTGTCAGCGACCTGTTCAAGGCGGCCAGAGTGATCCGCTACTGCCACCGTCGACCGGTCGTTCGCCCACCATCGTCCCGTGCTCTGACGAGCCCCTGTTGAGCCTGGATCACTGCGGGGCGGTCATCTTAGGGCTCAGCTACACGGCGCCACCATGCCTGACACCCTCTCAGGCACCGGATCGAGTGGCGTCGCCACCTCGTCGGCGCCCACGTCAGCTTCCAACTCGTCTTCGAGCCGATCGCGGAGCCCGGGCTCGGATACCGGCAGGAGCATCCTCATCTGTCTTTTGAGGCTTGATCTGCGCGTACACGACAATGCGCTCTTCTACTAGTGAGTGCATCTCCTGTGCTCTCGGTAGTGACGGCTATTCTGCCGTCGTATCCCTGACCCGACCATCCGCCCTTCGCCGCACGTCCACGCTCGATCCAATCAGTGCCCACCAGCAGCCCAAGCCCATTCTTAGCTCGGGCGGCAAGACGGTGGACTTGAGCCAGCTCGAGGACGAAGCGCTGCTGGGATCGACCTCGGACTACCTCTTGCCGGTCTTCGTCTTCGACGAGAGAGAGATGGAGTTGAGCGGTCTGCCCGGCTACAAGCGTAAAGGTCCCGAGGCAAGGACTCGCCACTATGGCTTTTGGAAGACTGGTGGCTTCAGGACCAGGTGAGCATCACGCACCTCGTGCCTCGACCATGGCGCCGGATCTCGTCGCGTGCGCTCGAGCACATGGCACTGACCCTTCGACCTGCCTTGTCGCCGTCATTCCCCTTTTTGGCGCCGCCGCCTCTTCTTGGCAGGTTCATCTCCGAGAGCGTCTACGACCTGCGTTCGAGACTACGCGACGTCGGCTCGGACCTCATGATCCGCTTCGGTATGCCCGAGGACGTGGTCTGCAACCTCGTCAACGCCCTCCAGGCCAATGGCGACTACGTCGAGGGCGTCTGGATGCAAAAGGAGATGACGTATCCAGAGACCGAGATCGAGTCGCAGATTGCCAATAAGCTGCACGGTACCGGCGTGCCCGTTCATTTTGTCAACGGCAAGACGCTGATTCACCCGGCGGACCTGCCCTTTCCCAGCAGCGAGACGCCCGACGTCTTCACGCCGTTCCGCAAGAAGGTCGAGTCGCTAGGGACGAGGATGGTGCGGCCCGCCAAGGAGTCGCCATCCACCTTCAAGCCCTTCCCGCCCGACCTCCCTCGGACGTCGGACTACGCGCTCGACGTGTCCTACGAGGTTGACGTCGACGGCTACATGACGCGGGCGCCAGAGAGCAAGGACAAGCAGGAGGGGCAGACATCGTTCCACGACATTCTCCGATACCTCTTGACGCCGCTTAACGAGTCGCAGCTCCCACCCACCCTCGAGGCCAACGCATTGCTTCAGCAACGCCACCCTGCATCCGCATTCCCTCTGCGCGGCGGCGAGACGTCGGCGTTGGACCGCCTCGACTGGTACTTTGTCCGTGGCAAATCGGCCGACTCGACGCGGTGGGGCAAGGCGGACCCACCGCCCGTGGCGAGGTACAAGCAGACGCGCAACAACCTGCTCGGCCATGCGTACAGCACCAAAATGTCGCCTTTCCTCGCATACGGCAGCATCAGCCCGCGCCAGATCTGGGAGGCGCTCGACGAGCACGAGCAGAAGTTTGGCGAGGACCAGAACACCTACTGGGTCCGCTTCGAGCTGCTGTGGCGCGACTACTTCTTCTTCGTGGCGGAGAAGTTCGGGCACCTCCTCTACGACATCGGCGGCTTCGAAAAGGCCACCGATCCGAGGCAGGCAGCCAAGAAGCTCGAGGATGGGTACTGGAGGTGGTGGGACCCGCTAAAGGACGGGCCCGAGCACGAGATCACGCGGCTGCTCGAGGGGCGCACCGGCATTCCGTTTATCGACGCCAACATCCTCGAGCTGCGCGAAAGTGGCTTCATGAGCAACCGCGGGCGGCAGAACGTGGCCAGCTTCCTCTCCAAGGACCTGGGCTACGACTGGCGCATCGGCGCCGAGTTCTTCCAGTCGCACCTCATCGACTACGACCCGACGTCCAACTACGGCAACTGGCAGTACGTGGCCGGTGTGGGCAACGACCCGCGTGCCAGCCGGCAGTTCAACACGGTCAAGCAGGCAAAGGACTACGATTCCCACGGCGACTATGTCAAGATGTGGATCCCGGCGCTGCGCAACCTGCACGCCGACTTTGTCCACACGCCCTGGCTGCTGGATGCAGAGGAACGCCGGCGGTATGGGCTCAAGACGACTAGGATGGATGTCACGATCGACGGCTACCCGGAGAGGCCGCTGATTGAGCATGAGGGTTGGAAGCGTCACTATGAGCGGCGGCAGGGAGTCGGCAGCAAGATGTACGGCAACCCGCAGGAAAAGGTCAAGGACGGCAAGGCGCCGCCGCGGCGGCACAAGCCGGCAGCGCGCTACCGGCCGTTGACGGCGTCGCTCGGCGGTCTCTCGGGGAGCGACCGTACCATGGACCTGGTCTCGGCCAGCGCCGGCACGCTCCATCCCAACGCCGACGGCCTGCATCGCAACGTGATCCCGCCTCTGCGTGGCAGTGCTGGCAGCATCGGGCCGTCGTACGTGCAGGGTCCGGGGCCACTGGGCAAAATGGCTGGGCACGGCTCGGAGCGCAGCTCTTCGCCCTTCACCAACGACCCGATCAAGCAGCTGGCACACACGTCGGGCGCCTCGATGCCGTCGCCGATAGCACGGGCGCCGGGCAACGCCTTCGATTTCGGCTTTGCGCGCTCCTCGAGCGCCAACAGCAACGACAACGGGCGCGTGCGACGCAGCATGGCCAACCTCGACCTGTCGGGAGGTGGCGCCAGCAACGCCGCCGCCGCCGCCGGCGCTAATGGCGACAAGCCGATGCCGTTTGGTAGCAGCAGCCTCAACCACGTCTCGTCGATGGGCAGTCCGGCCATGACGCCCAACGGCGCCTCGACGCCGTCGCATGCACCACCACCGTCCAAGGCGGACACGGAGCTGTCGTGGAGGAAGAGGGGATAGCGCCGGGCCGTCATGCCTTGCGCCCGCCGCGCCGATGCCTCGTCTTCCGCGGTCCTGGCCTCGTATTGCTTCTCACCCCAATCTCTCTCGGCTAGTCTGACACGGTAGCGCGCTCTTTGAACCGGCCTGCCATCTTCGCGTCTATACGACGCCTTGCCTGCTCTGCCTCGGTCACCCCTCTCCCCCCCCCTCCTCTCTCTCCGTCTGTCGATCTCTATTCCCGTCTCTCGTTTGGTCAGCCCGCCCCGCCCCGCCACGCCCAACTTCCGGGACGAAGTCAATCATCTGCAATCACCAGCATCATGACACGGTCGCTCCTCTTTCGCCCGTCCTGGCCCGTCCTTGCCGCGTTTGCGCTTCCCGACTTCACGGTGACGTGTCTTTCGCCCTCGACACCCTCGGTCGAAGCAGGGCGGGAACGGCAACCTGCCGCACGAGGGACGGATGGGGCATCTGAGGCGGAACTTTGATTGGCAGCATGGGCATGGGCGTGTTTTGCGTGTGCACAACAGACGAGACGGCACGGCACACGCCGAGCGTGTATATGTAGATCGACTTTGACGCCGACGCGCTCGGGGCGGCTTCTCCTCACCCCCTCGCACCACCAGCAGCCAGCGATGGCGCTGCACCTTCGGCCGGCGCCGGTGCCGTCGTCGTCGGCGTTGGCGTGGCCGTCGCTGAAGCCTGCTGCGTGGGTACGGCGACGGATCCGTCGGCGATGGCCGGTGCGGCGCCGAGCTCGAGCTCCTCGAGGCTCTCGGGCCGCATCCTCATCCACCTCATCCTCGGACCGGACTTGGCGTGCTCGCTGACGCGGAAGCCGTATATCCTGGGCGTGTAGATGCGTGCGTTGGCCACCTTGCGTCCCAGCTGCTCCGGCCTCAGCGTCATCCGCGCCATGAGCGCCGCCCGCTCCTCGGCCTCTGCCGTCACCTCGGCCACAGCGTCCGCGGCCGCGCCCGCAC